ACAGCCATACTCGGACATGTATCACCATATAAGTATGTATGAGGTTGTATGTCCATGTGCGTTTATATCCAATTCCAAAACGAAATCGAGAGACTTAAATATAACAGCATGTATCAAATAATAAAAACAAGTTTATTATGACCAGATAAGTAAAAAACCCAAATTTATTTACTCATTTCCAGAGATTTTTTTAGCCCTTTTGACGATAAGTAAATACTGAGAATATCTACATGCGATATAAATATAGTCTGAATTTTCGTTTTAACGCTTGATTGCTCTTTATATTAGAGTGAAAAGAATTATAAAATTTAGATGGGAGCACTTCGACGTGGTGTGATGGTTAACGAGATCAATTACGACTGTATATTGAGTTCGATCCTCACTGGGTGCTCTACAGATTCAGCCTTGTGCCAAATCTAAGCTTCGCATAGAAAAATATTTTAGGCATTTCGACGTAGTGCAATGGTTATCAATCTTGTCAGACTGAATCAATTACGACTGAACAGTGAGTTCGAGCCTCTTTGGGTACCCCATATTTGTGACACATAAAACTACGCTAAGAAAATCACCCTAAACGAATTTGAATTGAAAATGAAGGAAAACTATACTTAAAATAGTTATGTGAAAACTTCTATATACATCTACACTCTCTCTCTCTCTCTCTCTCTCTCTCTCTCTCTATATATATATATATATATATATATATATATATATATATATATGTATAATAATAAAAATACAGTTATAAGAGATGCCATAGTTATGGGAAAAAGCACTATGAGATAGAGCGTGTGTAAATATAAGATATAAAGTGGAAACTGAGGTCTACATAAAGCGGCGACAGTCTGTTTTATTTTTGAGCGCAATCTTCAGCTAATATGCGCGCGCACACACACAAAACATATATATATATATATATATATATATATATATATATATAATAGGAAGAAGACATAAAACATTTATAAATCTAAAATGTTGCGCTTTCACTTCATAATAGATGCTTATTCCATATCTAATAAAAGCGGAATATGGTAGATTTGTAAACGTTTCCAAGAACGAGGTATTCCTAGAGAATGAAATATTTTCTCTGTATATCGTTCTCTGATGAAGCTTTAATAAAGGCGAAACATGTTCGATTGATGACCGTGTCCTATTTGTTCTTTCAATATGTTGGATTCCGATCCATATTAGATCTGTATTTGATCCAATTACACACACACACACACACACACACACACACACACACACACACACACACACACACACTCGTGCGCATGCGCGCAAACACAGACAGACACGCAAACACACACATATGGCGGTGGTATAAAAGAGTGTCAGATTAAAAAAATAAAAATAAATAAAGAATACGAAAGATTTGTACAAACGGAGAATAGAATGTATAGTTTTCCATTATATATATATATATATATATATATATATATATATATATATATATAATTTTCTTAATAAAAGATATATTTTTATTTATTAATTCTACAAACTTTAAGTAATATGTATATATATATATATATATATATATATCTCAAAACAAAAGATTAGTACTTCGCAACATACACATTATTTACTTTATTCATATATGTATGAAATGTCTTGCATATAGAAATATGCAAGACATTTCATACATATACACCCACATTGAAAAAATTATATATATATATATATATATATATATATATATATATATATATATATATGTGTGTGTGTATATATATATATATATATATATATATATATATATATATATATATATATATTATAAATTAATTGATTTAAAATATGTTTTTTTTTCGCTACACAGTTCCAACCATGTTTCAAAAATAGAAGCTAAAAACCCCGAATTTAATTTTGCAATTAAATTAAAAGCATTAGTTCCATTTCATCTTCAAGCGAATTGAGCACTATTTTGTAAAAATAAAAATATCTATAAGAACACCGGATTTTATATCTTACTATTCTTTCTTTTTATTTATATATATATATATATATATATATATATATATATATATATATACTGAAATTTTAAAAGTTACCTTATTTTAGTGATGCGTAGATAATAATTACATATGTGTGTGTATATGTGTATGTGAGTATGTGAGTGTATGTGTGTGTGTGTGTGTGTGTGTGAATGACTAGATGGATTTCCTCATACGTATTTGTTATTATTCGCATTTTTAATTCATGAGCTTAAGTAATATATATATATATATATATATATATATATATATATATATATATATATATATATATATATATGTATATATATAGATAGATAGATAGATAGATAGATAGATAGATAGATAGATAGATAGATCGATGTAGAGAATATGTATACACTTTATTAATATACATTTTTAATGTATATACATGCACACATGAGCAAGTATATTTGTAAATATATA